CTCATGCTTTATTTGATCTGCAATATCATAAGTTTACTTGATTGAATACCTCGGAGTATCTCTTATCCTTTCGACAGCCTTTTAGTTTGACCAACTATACAAAATTTAGCCTTTTGAACAGTTGGCGTTAGGGCTTTCATACTTCACATCCGAAATTCTTTGTGACAAGTCCTTTCCTTGGGAATAAATATTTTTGACCTTGTGACCTTCACCTTGGAGTTTGACCCACTTTTAAAAAAATTAACCTTGGCAATATCTTTTGAACGGTTGGGACTAGCGTTTTCACATTCACAGGTGTATTCCTTGTGACAACGCCGTTCATTGGATATCAACAATTTTTACTATTTGACCTTGACCTTGGAGTTTGACGTACTTTAAAAAAAGTTAAAAGTTTTGAATTTTTACCTTTGACCTTGGAGTTTGACCTACCTTTGAATTATTTTAATCTCATTAATAACTTTTCAACGGTTGGTGTTAGGGTTTTCATATTTTTACATGTGTGTTTCTTGTGACAAGACCCTCCCTTGAGTACCAACAGTTTTGGCTTTTGTCCTTGACCATGGGGTTTGACCTACTTTTGAAAAAAAACGTTGGCCTTTGCCATTACTTTTGAATAATTAATGCTAGGGCTTTCATATTTCAATGTCTATTTATTGTGGCAAGGCATTCCTTTGAACACCGTTAATCTATCCTTGACCTTAACATTTGACTTGAGTATTAACAAAATCAATCTTTGCCATACTTTTCAATAGTTAGTCCTAGCGGTTTCATATTTCACATTTATTTTCCCTGAGACGAGATTTTTCTTTGGGTAACATAATTTTTTTATCTCTTGACTTTGACCTTGGAGTTGGATACGAATTTGAGAACTTAAACCTTTGCCATAAGCTGCAACAGTACCGGGGCATCAGTGTTTCACAAACACTTCTTATTCAATATCCAAACTGGACAAAAACATTCACAATGAATCCTTAAATCATTGTGTGGAACCTGATAAATTATTTGACTCGATCTATGGTCTGAAAGAACATGGCTGAACCTATCCAGTCAATAAACACAGATTGGGATTTTTTTGGGACATGGCCTAAACTCAAGTTTAAGGTCACTAAGGATATTTTGACTGGATGTATGGACTGTATGAACATGTGTGAATTTGAGAAGTCAGTAATACACAGATGGGGTTTGCTCATAACCAGAGTGTGTCATGGCTTTCGCAAGGTCATTTGGACAAGTTCAAGGTCACATACATTCCTTTATCGGTTGTTTTACCTACAGAGTGAAATATTGTTAGTTGATACCCCTTACAAGATTGCTTATAACCTTATGATATGACATGACCTTGACCCAAGGTCACTTCTTCCTGCCTGCAGCTTCAACGGAAGACCTACTCGTTGCTTTGCAACGAGCTCGGCTCTAGTTTTAATCTGATATTTTCTGGAGAGGGCTACAATTCCACAGCATCTCCGTAATGATGCAAATATATACATGTATATATATATATATTTAAATACGGGAGACTGCAGGCAAAATAAGTTGTTTTTACATTCAACTTACTTCTAATGAGACAAAATTTTATATTCACTGTCAACAAATTAGTCAGGTTAAACCCGAAAATCAGGTAAATTAAATCTGCGTGTTTACCAGTCGCTCTCCTCAGCAGCCATGACAGTTCTCGCATGATGTACTGAGACTTGCACTTGAAATTTAGAATAACTTCATAAAGCAAATGTCGGTGTTGATAAACGATTGTGTTGTATGGAATCACTAAACGTTGATAAATAAAACCATTCCATGTAATATTTTTTCGAAAACAGCGATATTTCTGTTTAAAATAAGGGAATTCCACAATACATCTGCTCTGTAGATCCCGAATTCTCATTGGCTGTCCCAGAATAAAATCGCTCAAGGTCAGTAAACATGGCGGGTAAATTCAAGTTGTGATGTTGACATATATGAAAAATAACTGATATATGGATTGCTTTGTATATTTTTGGATCGATTTATGTCTTGCATAACTACATTTTTGGAGTTCAGGTAAGAAATGTTAATTTGAACCGAAATCTATGCGGGAGTCAATAAGTCCCGCACTTGCACCATTACGGAGATCCTAAGGAGTTGTACCCCCTCTCCCCCATCCCCCCCAAAAAAGGAGAGGGGCTACATTATTGCAGCTAATGATATTCCGTTACCAAAGCAAGAAAGAAAACAAGATGTGTTTGTAAAACACTGATGCCCCCGTATGGCATCTTATGGCGAAGGTTAAAGTTTCTCAAATGCAAGTCAAATTCAAGGCCAAAAGAAAAAAAATGTTAAATTTGAAAGCCCTAGCTGCAACTGTTCAAAAGTTATGGCAAAGGTTAAAGTTTTTTACAAGTAAGTAAAACATCAAGGTCAAGGTCAAAGTTGTTAGTATCCAAAGGAAGGTCTTGTCACAAGGATTACATATGTAAAGTTTGAAAGCCGTAGCACCAACCATTCAAAAGTTATGGCAAGGTTAAAGTTTTTTGAAAGTAGGTCAAACTCCTATGTCAAGGTCAAAGGGTCAAAGTGGTTGGTATCCAAACGAAGGTCTTGTCACAAGGATTACATATGTGAAGTATGAAAGCCTTAGGTCTAACTGTTCAAAAGTTATGGCCAAGGTTAAAGTTTTTCAAAAGTACATCAAATTCCTAGGTCAAGGTCAAAGGGTCAAAGAGGTTGATATCCAGAGGAAGATCGTGTCACAAGGAATACTCATGTGACGTTTGAAACCCCAAGCACCAACTGTTCAAAAGTTATGACCAAGGTTAAAGTTTTTCAAAAGTAGGTCAAACTCCAAGGTCAAAAGGTCAAAGTTGTTGGTATTCTAAGAAAGGTCTTGTTACAAGGATTACTTATGTGAAGTATGAAAGCCCTAGCTCCAACCGTTCTAAAGTAATGGCCAAGGTTAAAGTTTTTCAAAAGTAGGTCAAACTCTAAGGTCAAGGTCAAAAGGTCAAAGTTGTTGTTATTCAAAGGAAGGCCTTTTCACCAAAAATACACATGTGAAGTTTGAAAACCCAAGCACCAACTGTTCAGAAGTTATGGCCAAGGTTAAAGTCTCATAAAATTTTGCAAAAGTGGGTCAAACTCCAAGGTCAAGGTCAAAAGGTCAAATATGACCAAAGAAAGGTCTTGTCACAAGGAATACACATGTGAAATATGAAAGTCATAGCTCCAACCAATCAAAAGTTATGGGCAAGGTTAAAGTTGACAACAGACAAACAGATTAACAGACAAACAGATAAACAGACAAACAGACAGACGGGACAAAAACAATATACCCCCGGGATCTTTCGATCCGGGGGCATAATAAATATTTTACTCTTGATTCTTCTGAGTTACAAAAACGTTTGTGCATGTGTTCGTTTGTGAACATTCTGAACTTGAGTGTATTATGATATGTTTTGATTTAAATTATTCTTGAAAAAATAAATGTTCCCTTTTAATCTTTCATTAAATTATTTTTTACAAGTTTGCATGTGGTATGAAACAGTGTAAGTATACTGATATGAAGATTGGATATAATTTGATTATTTAAACAAATAGGATTCTCTGACAGTTCAACACATTATTAATTATCCTGGTAAAATATACTAATATGAATTATTCTATATAAATTGATATTAAAAACTTCAGGGATATTTTATGGGTTATTTCATTTCAAACTGTAAGGGACGAAAGATTTTAAAAGCTATGTAAGTAAAACAATTGTGTATATGGTGCATATATTAACTCTCTTTGAAAGAAAATAACTTACACTCATTTAAAGGAAAACAAAGGATAATGCATTGTAGTGTCGTTGCTGGGGAATAAACTCCTTGACAGTCTGTGTATGCCTCATGAATATATAAAATTCCCTACAGAGCGTTTAATTTCAACCTAGCTTTAGGACATCTGATTCATTCACCTATGGATTCCTGTGTGTCATATGTTAGGGATGCTGTGGCGTAGCTTCCATTGAAGCACAGAAGCACGTGCTTCCACATTGTTTGATGAAATTGAAACTTCCAAAGCATTTGATAAAAGATAATACATATTTAATATAAATTTTATAACATTAATTATGTAAAAATGCATGTAGGCTTATAGCAAGGCTTGTGATAAGGATAGGGGAGCTGCTGCTGTCTTTTGTAAAAAAAAAAATTTCTCGCTGAAAACGCATTTCTGACAATATCTTATGAATAATAACTACAAAAATACTTTCAAAAATATTGATTAATAATTAACATTTAATGGTTTATAAAGTTATAAATCTATTTAAAACTGAAGGATAATATAAGCGACTTTAAAATATTGTCTATCGTCTAAACTGCACCGCAACAGCTTCCAGGGACTTTGCACCTTAAGTCCTACCAGGGCTTTTTCTTGGTCTCATCGGGGCCTCATGCTGGCCCCCAAACCCCTTGTGGTTTCATGCTTCCACATTGATCGACTCTAAGCTACGCCACTGGGATGCCTATTCCTTCATGGCACCTGATTGCATCTCTGATCTTTTTATAGGCCCTTGTTTGCTCCACTCCCGATTTGTTTTGTTTCGATTGACTTAAGAGCATGATTACTGTTCGTTATCTCCATATTTGATTACGTCAACCTCCGTACGTTAACAACCTTATCACTGATGTAGAGAAAACAGTTTCATTCAAATTTACATAAGAGTGTGTTACTTGAAAACAAAAAGTGAGAAACCCATTAAATAGAAAAGTAGAACATGAGAAGGATGGGATACAGAAGTAAAACGATGTTATAATTTAGTCGAATATTTGTGTGGTAATGAAGTAAATCGATCTCTACATCAATTAAAATGTATTTTTCAAGAATGTTGAAAGAAGTCATATTATTTATTAATTTGAGGTTCGAGTAATTTCACCTCCACTTGATAAGCTATAAAGGTGTAAAATTTCAGTTTTCTACACGAACTTGAAGTAAAAGAAAATAGTATTTTTCGTGTTGTGAATTGTTTATTCTTTCACATTGTACAGTTGGAGTCCCTAGGGAAGTACTGCGATGGGACCAGGAGGCCAGAGAGCGGTATTTAGAGTACGCTAAGAGGGGAACACAGACAGTCCACCATGCCCGGGGGATGATTGTAGGCTGTGCAGGGGCGGGGAAAACCACGCTACTTAAACTTCTGCTCGGTTGTAGTAAAGAGGAGATTGATAATGTAAAATCTACTGAAGGATTGGAGGTGCATGAGGAAATATTTGATATATGTGATGAAACAAAATCATTAAAAGGTAATACATATATTAATGATGCTCAAACCTAAGCCTGAGAGAGAGAGAGAGAGAGAGCTCTTGCACAAATCGAAAAATATGACATACCTTTACTTTATTTTCTACATCAATATTCTTTTTCAATAAAAAGTAAAGACACTTGATTTACATAAACTTCTCTTTTTTATTTGTGGTACATGTCTCTTAAAAACACTGACATTGTGAATCAATACTTTACTGTAAAACTGATTTTAAACAATGATAAACCAGAAATGCAGATACTATTATACTGATTGCTCAGTGTTTTTGACAGTAGAATTGATGCTTGTATGCTTAATCATGCACATAAATTGCTTTCAGCATTGTAAGTTTAGCACTTGATTACTTTAAAGAAAACTTATTAGTCTTTAATTCTATGAATCTTAAAAGAATGTCAAAAATACCATCTTATTGCTTCTGTAATGTATTATATTTTGAAAAATTTGATAGAGTATGAGATATGCCGGTTAAGAAAAAATAGAAATACTAAACACATGATGACTTTTTTAGCAAAGAAAAGCAAGGGCAGCAATGGGAAAGTATATACTACAAATGTTGACTCTAAGACTCTGACATTCTTTGATTTTGGAGGACAGTGTGCATACTACGCCTGTCACCAGATTTACCTGACCAGGAGAGCTTTCTATGTTGTGGTGGTGGATGCTTCTAAACGTCTTGACCAGAAGGTGGATAAGAAAGTGTGTGATCAGGATGACAGTGTTTTCAGTGGATGGACGTATGGAGGTACAATGTATACTTTTAACAAAGACACATTTTATTTTTGTCCTTTGCATTATAAAAGCATGTTTGATTTTCAAATAGGTGACGTAAAATAGATCATTTCCGATAAAGCTTTCTAATGTGTTAATGATTGAAACGACTTTACATTACCGGTTCCCAGAAAAATGCATTAAAATAAAGTGTCGCCGTAGGCGACTTAATTCAATTGATATGAAATCGCGTGAGCGATCGATAAAATAAAAAGTACGAGGTTTTTGGCCTTTTGACCGCAAAATCGAATTCTACGGTTTAAAGTTTAGTATAAAACTTACATTTAAAACGAAGTTTTAAACCTTATTCTCTGAAAAACAATTTATTATGTTGATTCATTGAAAAATCACCTAAAAATAATTGTCAATGAAGTGCGTGCGGCGCATGCTTAGTGTCGTTTCTTTCGTACTTAGCCATTTTTGCATGTAAACAAACCAACGAGATACCGTTGAAGCTGACTTAAAATCTTGCAAAAATACAGAAACAACTGAATTTCTTAATTTATCTAAAAGAACGAGTCACTAGCCCTAGTCTTTCGGATGGTGCATGAGGACTAACCCAAGTCTTACGGGCAGACTCTAGTCTAACCCTAATCAGTCAAATAATGAGCGAGGACTAACCCTAATCTCTGGGATGGATACGAGACTAACCCGAATCAGTCAAATACTTGTACAAGGACTAACCCTAGTCTCTTAGTTGGGTGCAAGACTTACCCTAACCAATCGAGCAGTGTGCAAGACTAAACCTTATCAGTTGAGTGTCGTAAATCTGACATCATAGTGCAACGAGCGCGCGGATCTTTGCGGATCTAGGGACCGGTAAAGTGAAGTTTACCCTTCTCTCATTTCTTTGTTGTATACCTTTGAACTCAAGACGTTTCTAAAAACAGATAATCTTTAAGTTCATAATCATGGCAATGATAGGGAACAATGCATATCACGGTACATTTTATAATATTTCTTCCATTATAATGAAAGGATATTGCACTCATTCAGTCACAAATGATCAAGCAATTAACATAATAAAGAAACAAAAAAAATAACCAAAAACAAGAATACATTTTTAAGAAACCCGTTAATTCTTCAAATTTCTCATTTGATCTCAATTTAAAATTTTTCTTACGAGCGGTAGGACATGTAATTTTATAAAATTAATGCAAACAAAGATTTTTTGAGTGGGCTGAGGCTAAGGTAGGGGATGCTAATTTGTATATATTTGAATAGAATAAAAATCATGCATTTTTTCTAAATTTTATGTAAAGTCTTTGTTTTATAATTTTAACATAAATAATTCTAATATTTAAAATGGAGGACACAAATTCACTGCTTTTATTTAATCTCAAGGTAATCCTACTTATTCATAAAAATATATATTCAAAAATATGTAGATTGGTCTTAATATTATTTTTAACAAATCCAGCCATGAAACACACTTTTTTCATAAATTCTAAGCATTTTTATTGAAATATATTAAGCGAAATTCAGAGTTATTTTACCTTCGATTTATATTTTTAGAGTCTTTCAACAATGTAATTTTTGTTTGTTTGTCGTTTGGGATTTAAAAAAAAAACAAAATAAATGCATGCTTTTGATTATTCCTTCTTTGAGTATATCGAATGTATTTTGTCATACTTTGTTCTTGCATTCACTCTCCACAAAAGTTGTATAATTATATAAGCTAACAAGATTTCATGATAACAATGACTCATTTGTCTGTTACCTTATCTGTCTGTCTGCCTTAAATGTATTTTTGTCTTCTATATGCTTTAACCTTTGATACTTGTACATGTACCGGGATCATAAAGGGAAAAAATAATTTCAAATATCTGATTTTGAACGAAAGAATTTTATTCGTAAGAACAGATAGAAGATGTATACTAGTAATTATGTTCACCAAACGAAGTTTTGGAACATATTGTTTATAATGAAATGAACAGCAAAATAGTTACATCAAATTCTGTTAAAAGAATCTTTAATTTAAGAACCCTCTCTACACTGCACACTAGAGAGTTCTGATTCTGTTGTATTTTTCTGCAGTTAGAGTGACCTACCCTTAGATCTAAATTCCAATAAATTGAAATTTACAGTGTATTACTGAATTTATAATTAATTCAAGTATTCTTAACATTTTAGAAGGCCAAGATAAATTAAATGAACACGTTATTTACAAGTATTTTCTTAATGGAAGTAAACAACTGTGATTTCTGTTCATTGATACTTGGTTGTGTTTGAACATTTTTTTCTGGGGGTAAATGCCACGTACCATATATTGGAAATTAAATAAATAAGCTAAATATTTACACCTTTATTTAATTTTATTTTCTCAATGTCCAAAAAATATCTGCACTGGTGTATAGAGGGTCCTTAATTTTACTTATAAAAACTTTGTCATCTTTTAGATTGTACACGAAGTGTTCAATAAACATATTTTATTCAATGTAACTGCAATGAAATACTCGAGTAAAATGGACTACAGAAGACTTCAGAATTTTGTCCTGTTGATAAAAACAAAATATTATACCAGACTCAATGAAAAGACGATCGTGATAAAATGTTTACTGTCTGTTAGATTAGTCGTATGATATATCTTGTTAAGTTTGAAAAGAATGAATGGACTTGAAAGTGCTGAAAAAATAACGTAAATTGAAGTTTATTTTTTTTTTAATTTCTTTCCGTAATTTAAATTAAAAAGGAACATTTTTATGTCTTTATTGCAGACTACTTTGTGTTCTGGATAAAGTCTATACATACCTACTGTGGTTCTGACAATGAAAAAGATATAAAACCCGTAGTTCTAATTGTGTCAACACATTGGGAAGAAGGAAACAGACAGTTCAGGGTGAACTTTTTTATCAAATGATCTTGTCATTTACACACCATTTTTATGCCCCTGTATCGAAAATTCGGGGGTATATAGTTTTTGCCCTGTGCGTCCGTCTGTCTGACTGTCTAGCTGTGTGTTTGTCTGTTTGTCAGCAAAAAACTTTGACCTTGCCCATATCTTTTGATTGGTTGAGCTATGACTTTCATATTTCACGTGTGTATTACTTGTGACAAGACCTTTCTTTGGGTACCTCCATATTTGACCTTCTGACCTTGACCTTGGAATTTGACCCAGTTTTGCAAAATTTTACCAAACTTTAATCTTAGCCCTAACTTTCTTTTCCTTCCTTTGGATACAAGCAACTTTGATCTTGACCTTGGAGTTTGACCTACTTTTGGAAAACTTTAACCTTGGTCATAACTTTTGAATGGTTAGTGCTAGAGCTTTCATATTTCACATGTGTAATTCTTGTGACAAAACCTTCCTTTGGATACCAACGACTTTGACCCTTTGACCTTGGAGTTTTACCTACTTTTGAAAAACTTTAACGTTGGTCATAACTTTTGAACGGTTGGTGCTAGGGTTTTCATACTTCACATATGTAATCCTTGTGACAAGACCTTTCTTTAGATACCAACAACTTTGACCCTTTGACTTGACCATGGAGTTTGACCTACTTTTGGAAAACATTAACCTTGGTCATAACTTTTGAATTATTGGTGCTTCAGCTTTCATATTTCACCAGTGTATTTCTTGGGAGAAGGCCTTTCCTTGGGCACCGTTTATTTTGACCATTTGACCTTGATGTTTGACATACTTTTGACAAAAAACGTTAACCTTTTCCATACCTATTCAATGGTTGCTGCTAGGGCTTTTATATTTCACAGGTATATTCCTTGAGACAAGACCTTTCTTTGGATACCAACATATTTGACTTGCATTTGAGAAAGTTTAACCTTTGCTAAAAGTTGCCATACGGGGACATCAGTGTTTCACAAACACATCTTGTTTATTTCAAAAAACTTAATTCGTTGACATATTGCAATATACCGGTAATCTTTTAGTGATCTGTAAGTCTTTTTTGAATAAAATTCATTTTACCATGGTACCGTTTAGATCGACATTATATACATGCATGTTTGGATTATTTGTATTTGAATATAGCAAGTATTAGAAAGTCGATTATGCGATCATTTTCATCAATGAAGATTCTTCTTCAATTTGTATATTTTTGCAAGGCTTTAAAAAATGTACGATTTCGGGATCTTTTTTGTGTAGTTTGGAATGATGCTTTTTAAGGAACATAAAGAGAAAATCACAATTCAAAATGATGTCTTAACAGAAAGAGAAAACAGTATATTATAACCACTTAAAAAATAATCGGATAAAAAAAATCTGTTTTCATTGCAGGATACAAAGGAACTGACTGAGAGCTTGCGGGATCAGTTTCCAAAGTCATCTAATTTATCACAGTACATTAGAGACGATAACGTTTATTGTGCAGAATTAAATATACCTCTCCATGATTTGGAAATATGCTTCTTCAACATAGCTTCCCATCATCGATGGAAAGAAAACATTCCAAAAGAATGGTCTTTCTTTGGTTTAGAAATTGAGCAGAAAAAACAAAAAGAGAGAATCCTAGAAATCTCAGAAATAACAACGAAAGTATCAGAGATTGCTGCTAAAGAACAGAAAGGTTCTGATAAAGCTGAAAAGGGAAAACTAGATATGCTGCGATATTATCATGATGCAGGAAAAACTTTATATTTTAATGAAAATGGTCTGGAGAAAGAAGTTATTATTGATGTGCAATGGTTTATTGACGCCTTCAAACATATTATCACCGACAAGCTACATTGTAAAGGTATTCCTGTACCTCAAGGGGACTGGGATGAATATTACAAAACTGGAAATTTGCGAAACCGACTTCTGATAGAGATTTGGAAACATAAAGATGAAGAGTTGTTTGAAAAGCTTAAGGAAGAAGACGAAGATTACAACATTGAAGACGGATCATATGAGAAAGATAGACGATATCTGCAATGTCATAAGGATTCACTTCTCAGTTTTATGGAAAGACTTGGTTTGCTGGCCCTTGGTACAGAATCCTACTATGCTCCGTGTATGAACAGGAAAGAAGTGGAGTATAATCTTTCAAATCTGATTAACAATTCGCAGAGTAAATCATCAGTCCTTATTTATCAATTTGACTTTTTACCATTTTTCTTGTTTTATCGCCTTATTGTCGCTTGTATGCAAGAAGATGGTTGGAAAGTACTACAAAATCATGATACATCTTGCCTCTATAAAAACGCCGCTTTGTTTTCGTGCATGGAAAATACCATCCTTGTATCCGTCACAGAAGAGTCTATACAACTTCAAGTATTTTGTCTGATGCAAGGATGCGTTTTGGAAAGGGTAAAAACATGCAGGATTCAAGAAAGAATAATAGATATGTTAAATAATTTATCGGAAAGATTTCATAGAAAAGTACAGTTTGTAAGAGGCTTTAGATGTCGAATGGACAAAGAAACGATTGCTATCGGTATCAAGGGGCATTTTTTACCAGAAAAAAAATACATTCCAAAAGAAGACTGTAAAATGATGTGCCCTTTGCATTCGATTACAGATCAGCATATCATTGATACAACTGAATTTACTAGATACTGGAAATTGCAAAGAGAAATGATACTTTCAGATTGCAAGTAATTAAGGGAATTTTTTTTTTTACTAAATTACCGTTTTATTGCTTTGAAATTAAAAACTTTTAAGCTCACCTGAGCTGATAGCTCAATTAAACTTTTGGGCTGGTACTCATACTTTTATTATCCCTAAAATAAATTTTAAAAATAAGATTGTGTGACATTCTTCTTTGGAATTTTTCTCCAAATTGTAACTTTTCCACTTTTGCTTAATTAGGATTATATCTAACATAATGAATGTATACAGGAAACCCCATAGCTACATGGTCATGTTAATTATATTGATATTGAAATATTCCCATATTATGTGGATTCAGATACCCATAAAGTGACAGTGGGGCTGTAGGATGTGGCCATTCTTTTCCATATGAATACAAATGAATAAACTCGATTTACATTGTAAAATCTAAAAAGCTACACGAGTTAATGTGGTGGTGCATGCATATGGACCTCTTGTTACACATATATAGTTGGAAATTTCAACTTCTCCTATTTCTGCAAATGTTTAATTAACTTTTCAAAAATGTGTGTATTTGAATGTCTGGCAATTTTTGTCAAACACTTGGCTTGCCGAGTGTCTCTTGAAAATTTACAAATAAAAAACAAACAAACAAACAAACAAAATCGGTTCCTTAGGAGCACTGGTTCTTGTTCTGAGACCTGTTTATCCCATTATATAAACATAAACTGTATTGTTTAAATGAAATAAACATGGCTCTGAAGAAGTTCCTTTTCTTAGATTATAATTCCCTGATTAATAATTCTCGATCATACAAGAACAATGGAAAAGATAAAATATAAAAAAAAACTGAAATGGAACCATTTGTGTCATCATAGATTTGAACATGCAGTCAATGAAAAAGTAAATGAAAAAGCAGCCAATTGGAGTCATTCCATGTGTTTCCTAACATGTTGGGAACACGAAAAAGAAAAAAGCACTTATGAAACACTTGATAATTGGAGAATACGATTTACAATTTTACAGAAAGTACTAGTACTTTTATAATGCTAAAATCTACGTAACTATGTAAACAGTGTGTGAACTGGGAACTACAAGAACATTAATGTAATTGTATTAATGTACATTATTTAATGAATAAACCTGCTATATTATATTTATTGTTGATAGAATATGCTTTGGTTACTTTTAAGCCTTTTAATGCTTTATATAATTAATTATATGTAACAAAGCATGTACTCATAAACCATTTTCAACTTTTAATTATTCATGTAGTAAACAGTGTGCATGTTTTAAATACATTAAGTCATTTAATGAGATATAAAAAAGATGCATATCAATTCAAAACTTGTCCATGGATTTTTTTTTATCAAGATTAATTTACAGTTTGCAATGAAGGCTTGTATCTTTGCTTATAGATACAAAAGTTAGAATAAAGTATATATTTTGAAATACTTGAATTCCAGGGGCCATGCGTTTTACATTTAGGAAAGTGGTACCTTAATTTATTCATTATAATGATGTACCTAGTTTGTCTGCTAAATACACAGGAACATAAAAGAAGATTTTGAAAGAATTAAAGCATTCACGCCATATGATCAATATAGCCGCACTCTAACACAAGAACCCCTAAACCAGAAGACAAGGGGACATAAATTCACAATTTTTAAAGAGACACATTTGCTCATGATAGTCATGCATTTGTCTGCTAAATATCCAGTAGCCGAGAAGGATGATTTTAAAGAATTGATGCATTTCTTTAATAGATGCTTCTTGCCAAATTGGTTGAAATTTGCACGGCGCGCACAGCAGAGAAGTCAATAGTTCCAGAAAAGATGAAGAATATGTTCATATTTAACGCATGAGAGACCACTTGCGACGCATGACAAAAACGGATAGCAATAGGTCTGCTGTGTGACTCAGATGATCTTAAATCTACACTGTATCTAAACGCTTTCATATAAATTTTGTCTTTTTTGCTCCTGTGTTACTTGAGATGAAAAAGTAATTCTTTTATTCACCTACCAAATCTTTCCAAGGTGAAAGGTGGACTCGTTGACCAACACAGAATGTGTCTGTGAAACATTTATATCCCCGTATGGCAGCTCATTGAGAAAATTAGTTTTACAGATGCAAGTCAAACTCCAAGGTCAAGGAAAAAAAAAAAAAAAAAAAAAAAAAAAAAAAAAAAAACAAGTATTCCTTTTAAAGAAATGATCGGCATGGGATCATAAAGTCAGCATTATGAAGTGTCTTGAAATACGTTTGTAGAATTTTCCTTTTATTTTCGTTAACTTAAATTTATAATTCCTTTATGGTTATGAGTATGCTAATACATATATTTAATTTCAAATTATTTCTCAACTGAGTATGACGTGAAAAGGATAGCGAAATTAACATGCTTTTCTTAACATACTAAATTTAAATTGAAGAACAAATTTAAACTTAATGAACCCATTCCCTTGTACCAATCAATGCTTTTTCTTTTATTTAAACAACCCATTCTGAAGTATTTTTTAATTAAGTCAATGTAGACTTATTTAAAATAATAAATATACAGGACTATTCATGTTTATTTTTATTAGGTTAGTGCTTCCCATGATTTTTAAATAACACAAAAATCAAAGATTTTACTTGTACAAATATGAAAGCACTTGTCTATAGATTGGGAAAATGTTCATGTAATTTTCTCACTTACGACCGTAATATGTAATGAAATGTGGAGTGTATACTACTCCATCTTTTATTTACTAAACACATACTGCTACATGTATATTTACACTCAGCATGCAGCTGCAAGACCAGTAAATGGTTCGTCCAATTAAATGAAGGAATAATCTGTAAAAATAAAATTATGTTCCTCGCTGAAATGATTTACATTCTTCCAAGGAAACGAACTATTTAAATCGACATAATGAATTACAATCTGAGAGAACAGATTATCTAATGTGAGGGAGCGAATTGATAATCTGAGAGAACGAATTGTTAATTCGTTATAACAGATTGTCAATCGGAGAGAACGGTTTTAATTTGACACTTTTTTTGAAAAACCTCATATCCCTTCATGGCTTTCGTACAAATCCCCTTTCGTTTCCGAGTTCCCATATGATTTAAAATTTAGGAGCTTTTCTTTCCAGACAAAGGCTCTGAGACTTAAAAGCTAGGGCAAAAATATTACTGAATTTGAAAAGTTGTGCAAATCGGATTTTTTTTTTAACAAGTAACCGTTTTCATTTGGCATGTGAAGATATCATTGATGGGGAAAAATGTCTATATATAATATGTATCTTACTACATTGAATGCTTTTTTTCTGAAATATGGTGTTTGATGTGTTCTGTAGTTCCCTTACTGATTATTAAAAAAACAACTTTCTCTTTTATAGCGTTTTAAAATAAACAAACCTCTTCAAAGAAAGAAAGAGGGGGAGAAAATGAGAGAGAGAGAGGGAGATTACCTTTTCTTCGTTTAAAATTAAAGCTACGGAAGTCCATTTAGGACCTATCAAGAATATTTTTGAATTCGATATAACGAATTGTCGAATTTGTTTCAACGAATTTAATTCGTTTATACAATTCCTTTGAATTCGTGATAACGAATTTAATCTGTTACAACAAATTTGTTGAATTCGTTATAGCGAAAGCAAGAATTTGTTTTAACGAATTAAATTCATTTAAACGAATTTTAAAATTTTTTATAACAAATTAAAGTCGTTTTAACAAATTCTAAAATTAATAATGACGAATTAAATTCCTTTAATCAAATTCAACAATCAGGGCCTACAGTAAAATATATATGAATTCGATATAAAGATTTGTCGAATTCGTTTTCTCGAATTTAATTCGTCATAATAAATTAAAGAGTTCGTTTAAAGGAAATGAATACGTTATAACAAGTTTTAAATTCGTTATAACGAACTCAAAAAAAAAAAAAAAAAAAAAAAAAAAAAGTTATAACAGATTAAATTCATTATAACGAATTCAAAGAAATCGTTCTAACGAACTAAATTCGCTATAACAAATTCGACAGTTCGTTATTTTGATATTTATATTTTTGATAAGCCCGTATAAGATTAACAATATTTATTCAAACATATACTTTTTAGAGTAAAATAATTCATTTTCATTAACTGCACGCATCTTACATTCAATTCGATCCTTGACTGTTTTGTGTTTACAGTTTTGTAACCCATCCCTCAATTGCGTGTGTCATAGGAGATGATCAGACATCCACCTCGTGTGAACCAACGACCCTTGCAGTTTATCATGTAAATTTTTATATGGATGCAGCTTGCCAACCCCTCCTCTCTTACACACGAATGTTGCTGTATAGTCAAACATAAGTCTTCCTGAACATTTGATAGAAAAAAAACGTTCAATCACTGAGACTGATACAAAATATCTATGTTGGATAAGATGCTTTGGTCTAAAATAAACGATTTTAACTTTCTTTTTTTCTACCATTCCTTCATGATCTGTATCGCTGGGTACCCTGGGATTCTGAAAGTAGGGTCAAATCTTTCGCCCCTTGAGGGGACATTAAATCCCATTCGTATGTCCGTCTGTCTGGCACAAAAACTTTAACTTTTGTGATAACTTTTGAATGAAAAAAAAGATAGGACTTTCATATTTCACATGCACATTACCTGTGACAGGACCTATCTAAATATTTAATGTACTATGATTTTTGACAGCGAAACCTTGAAGTTTGAGATATTTTGCAAAACTTTTAACATTACTTTAAACAGATACTTTTGAATGGGAAGAGACAGTGTTTTCATATTTCATGTCGCTCATATGTGACAAGCTCTTCCCAAATGTACTATGATTTTTGAGTCCGTGACATTCACCTTGAAGTTTGATATTCTTAAAAAAATAACATTGGTGATACCTTTTAGATAAGATACGGCATTCATTATGACATGACATTACCTGTGACGAGATATTTCTAAATATACTAAGATTTTTATTCCATTTAATACCTTGATATCTGTCATAGTTTTAAAAAAGTTAAATTTACTAATAGCATTTGAATGAGAGAAGATTATTTTTTTTTATATTTGACATGTGCACTGCTTGTTTCAAGACCTTTCAAAATATTTTCTGCCTTTTTTACCTTGTGGCCTTGACCTTTAAAGTTAAACTACAGTCTTTTTTCATCATATTTTAAAATTGTTA